CTTTCCATCTATCATGTTCAGGTGTACTTTCCTTGGATCTCCACATTGTACAACCTTTACAGTGTTTTGAGAAAGCCTGATAATCTAAAACTTTATCACCAACAACAGCTGTAGCTACACCATTCAATGATGCATGACCTCTCTTCTGCCAAGAACCATCTATTGTAACGCGTTTGCAGACTGGCTGAGTATTTGCTTGAGAAAATGCACTGGCAGCTCTTTTCATTGATACTTCAGCTGACTTAGCATATGCAGTTGAAACACAGTTGTCATTCAAGTTGTCAAAAGCTGATTCACCAATACCATACATGTTAAAACAGTTAGTAAACATTTTCAATGCTGCCTTTCCCCGACAAATCTCACGAAAACTAATGACTGCTCGAACATTTGACTCATACAACTTGCGACCACGTTTAGTTTTTCGATTAGAATCGTGGCACTCTTTACTTGTGAAACAGGAGTTAATCCAACCACAGCTCATACATTTCAATTCTAATAGATGAGCAAATCCCATTCTTTTTTTTAGGTTATCAATAAATTCTATCGGTTGTTTGTTATCACATTTAGGACAGTACAGAATTGGTAGAATTAACTTTTTCATTTGTTCAATATCCATAAACATAAAATATTTACTATCATCATTATTAATAGATTCAGTAACAAAACCTGTAGTTTTAAGTTTCCTCGAGCTTGCACATTCAGTTTCTAAATCTGCTTTAGTTTTGTTGTTGTTAAAGTTTTTTTCTTTGGTTTTAACCATGTGGCGATTCTTTGGTGGTATTTTTTTCTTTTTTCTTTGCAAATTTTGTTTCGTTGAAATCATTTTTACTGACTAAAATCTAAATAATAAAAAATTCAGATAACAGACTTCAAAACAAAAAAGAAATTTGCCTTCGATAAGCAATTCATATCACCAGACACACGTCATGCTTATACTTTTAACTTAAAAAAGTGTTTTAGTTTTTGAAGTATAGCTAATAGTCACTTTATAGCTTTAAAGTATAGCCATAAAACAATCAATTAAAAGCAAAGTAACAAATAAAAACAATCAATTAAAAGCAAAGTAACAAGTTAAAAGAAATGAAGTTTGAAAAATGTTCGAAAACATAATATAAAGAACTAATTAAAACAAAAATAAATCGCTTCATATTTTTCACGCTTTTCTTTTTCCGCCATTAATAACAAATAAAAATTATTTTATTTTGTAAAAGTTTTTGTGTTTGCTATTTTGTTATGTAGTTTTTGTTTTCGTTTTGTAGTTTTTGTGTTTGCCTTTACGTTTGCGTAATGTTTGTTATTATTTGTGCTGTTGTTGCTAATTATTTTTATTGTTGTTCGCTGTTGTTATTAATTGAGTATTTTCGTATTTTTTTCGTATTTATTTAATTTATTATAGTAAAATTGACTATTTTTTTAACTATTACGTATTTAATTTACGCTAGCTTCCTTGTTGAATTTTTTATTGAACCACGCTGACAATTATGTTAAATGTGTTTCTGTTGAATTTTTTGTTTGCTTGGTTATTTTATTTGTGTCACTCCAAAAACCAGTTTTCAACCACATGAGCGACACATAACCTAATTTTGTAAAATTATTTAAAAAATCGAATAAAGTGGACGCGCATCGATGGGGGCGCAGTGTCTGAGAGAACTCTGTTTAACAACGTTTAATGATGAACAAATCTACGACGCTCAAGTTTATACATGTATTCCGTTTGAGCAGTTGTCTGAGAAATTTAATAAAACCTATAGTTCCTGTTTTAATCATATACATGGTTTGAGTGATATACCTAGAATTAATTGCAATTCAAAAATGGTCGTGGAGATGTTCTAAGTTTTTCAAAAGAACGTTTGCAATGCTCACCTATCAATATTGTATTTTTCAATTGATGAAGCATAGAGAAGCAAGTACTTAGACAATTAAAAAAGGTGTTTTATTTTGATTTGAACCATTTTAAATTTCCAAAAGAAGAAAACCTAAAGTTTTTTTATGACGAAAAACGGTGCAATGTGCATGGTCTTAAATCTTATTTGGTACATCGTCTAAAGTTTGAGACTAAAATACTCGCAATGTATTTGCAAGATTTTGTTTACGGATTTTTAAAAAGTCAATCCCTAAAATGTTTTACAAAATTAATTTATTTAATAAGACAAAATAACTTCCTTTTGTCATCAAAAAAAATAATTTTTTTATTTTTGAAAAAAAAAAGACATTTTTTTATTAAGTTTTTTTAAGTTAAAATACCTTATCAGAGCAATCCATATAATACATGTCAAAATGAATTACTTTATGTACAATTTTATTAGATAGGGTAGTCCGGGGCTAATCCGAACAAAAACAACGTTTTTCCGAAAAAAACCGAACAAAAACAAGTTTGAAAACTTGGAATTTTTTTTCTCTTTAGCTTTTTACAATAACTTCTCTTTTTTTTTTTACATTGTATATTTCAAGTAAATGTTTCAAGCATTTTTAAAGAAAGACATTTTGTATTTGCAGAGTCTGATACAAAAACGCCTTTTTCGGAATAGCCCCATGCAGGGGCTAATTCGAACAAAAGTCGATGTGCGCAAAAAACGCTTGTTAATATCGTTTTTTTGAAAAAGAAATTTGAAGAAATATCCAAGGATAAATTTATCCATAAAATGATGATATTTTCTTTTTCTCAAATAACGTATACTTTAAATAGCCTTTTATTTTTTGCAAGTTTTTTATTTTCATTTTTTGAAGCCGCTTTTTCTTCATTTTTCAGATTTAAGGCTGCTTTTTCAGTGAGAATTTTGCCACATTCTGCTTTTTTTTCATTCATACTTTTTTTTTTTATTGTTTACATACATACATTTTTATTTATTGTTTACATACATACATTTTTTCATTCATACTTTTTTTTGTTGTTTATAGCTGTTAAAGTGTCTTTAGATGGAGTTGGCGATAACACTTTTAAAATAGCAGCTCGAAGATCGAGAGTTATTTTTTTCTTGGAAAATACTTTTTTTTCAATGCGTTTCATTAATCACATTTTGTTTTTAAAAGATGACCCATTCGTATTTATGGTTTTAAACGATATAAGGGAACAAAAAATTGTGTTTCCACGCTGTATCCAATTTATTTTGCCAGGATGTGCAATGCGGTTGTATCTTATTTCAATAACAGCATTTATAAATTCGTATATAATGATCTAATTTTTGTTTAACAGTTTGTAATCTACATTTTTTTTAATCATATTTAAATTGTCATTGATCAAAGTATCAACCCTTTCGTTTTAGTTGCCCTGGAAAGTAACGGGACAGATATGTCCCGACAGGCTAAATGGAACTAATATATCTATGTGTATGTATGTGTATATATATATATATATATATATATATATATATATATATATATATATATATATATATATATATATATATATATATATATATATATTACATTTACACTTAAGCTGCATTTAGGTAGACTGTCTGGGTAGGTGGGATAGTAGAACTGGGGAGCTAAATAAGATTAGGTCAGTGGAGCTAAATAAGATTAGGTCAGTGTAAGGTAATTTTAAATGGATACCTTTTTGCTGAAAACCATTTTAGCGGCATATAGAATTCCTTACGGTTAAAATAATTATAAAAAAATATTTTTATATAAATCAAATAACTTTGTGTATTACAAATGATACACTCTAAAACAATTTCTTTTAACATTTATGCATAAATAAACTTTGCATGTGCTGCACTTGATGAATGGTCGTGCTTCAATTTTATTTTTAGAGCATACTTCACATCTTCCACAACTAGAACTATGCTCTGACCAATGGATGGCAAGATTTTCCTTTCGAATCGATACTGGAATAGAAAAATTCTTACTTTTTATAATGTCTTCAATTGAGTCAACCTTTTCAATTGATCTTGAACTTTCTTTAACTACTAAAAAGAGTAAACATATTTTATTAAATGTTTTATTAAGTTAGTAATTTATGTGAATGTTTTGCATTGTGTGTATTTAATTAAATCAACATATTAAATTTTAAAGATATAAAAGTCTGAATTACCGGGTGGTTCTTCCCCAGAAACACTTGAGTCTGGGGGCGTGCTTATTTTAGACAGCTCATTCCTAAGGTTATCTACTAGCTGAGATAAATGTTGTCTTTTATGTGAAGCAATTGCTTCAACCTCACCATTATTCTGCTTTTTATCTACAATGGAAAAAAGAAAATGTGTCAAATATAAAAATAATTAAAATTACATGTCAAAGACAACAAAAAAACACAAAAAATGTTTATAAACGTACCCTGCATAACTTTTTACAACAAAATCTATTTCTTGATTTTCATTGCCACCAGTCTACCATATGACTATCAAAAATATAATGAAGATAAAATAGTTAACATACGTGTAAACGAAAACTATAATTGCCTTACCTTCTGGGTCAGCCACCACACTTTTGCTGCCGCGAACTCTTTTATAACCTAAAATAAAGTTTTGTTTAAATTCAACACTAATAAAGCACTAACTTTAAAATTTAAACATAATAAAAAGTATTAAACTGTTGATGTTATAACCGATATAGTATAAGGCTCGTTTTTTCTCAAAAAGTTCATTGCCTCGTTGTCTACATCGACAACACCAAACTCCTCTGCAATTAACTTGTCATTCTGTTTTAACCAACCTTTAATTGTAAATTACAAAAAGTAAAAAACAAATGTTTGCAGTAATGCTAATTTTAAAAATACTTACTTTTAACTTGAGCCAGTTTCTCAATACGTTTTTGGTTTTGATGCTTCAAAAACTGTTTATGTTTCCCTAAATGTAGGTTAGACTTATTAATACAAGCAAAAGTTATGTCAGGGTATTATTATGACAAAAATTATAAAATATTACCTCTGAAAACTTAGTGGGTCTTTTTGCACTTTTACTTGATGCACAAGCATCAATCTCATTATTGTTTTGAGGGAAACAAATATTTTTTAACCTATCAACTAAAAAACAATCATATTAATTATTCAGGGTCACGGTTTTAGAATTTAGTCCAGGTCAAAAAGTATAATTTACTTTCCTTATCATTTTAACACAAAATCGAGTAATAAATTAACAACCGTATTATCTGGTTTTAACAAATTTTTCTTAGAGACCTTATCATCCACTAACTTTTAACTAACTTATTCTTGCATACTTATTACTGAAAATAACTTATTAGTATGAACTTAAATAATAGTAAATCATACAAAAATTTTTAACACTATTGCATTTATACCTGGCTTTTTAAAGGAATCTTTTTAAAAGCTTTTGATGGTTTGTACCGACAATTTTCGTTCAGCATCACAATAGGAGTTAGTAAAGCCTTCAGTCGCCGTTATCATGGCGGCCTAATTGTTTTTAAAATCGTCACTATAAATAAATATATATTATACATTTATTTAACATGTGAATTGTTATTTAAAATGTATATTAAAAATTTACCTGAGACGAATGCTTTTGTGTGAATATACCAAATGGTTATCAATACGATCGAACCATTCATGGCACACTCTACTTAAAACAGGTTTGGTTCTGTTTCCTTCAACCTAAAATAAAAAATATATTCTAAATATACATTTACATACATTATAAATTGTTTACAATTATTTGGATTTTGGAAATATAATGTATAACATACCTTAGACAAATGGTTAAAATAACGAACAAAAAAGGAGTTCGAGCACTAAGCTTCTTCGTTCATTTTGTGTTTTGTAACTAAATGCCGCCTTAACCTTGTTGATAATGATTTACATATTTCCATCGGGCATTTGTTTAAGTATTCTTTTTTGTTGTTTTTATCATATCTTGCTCTCACCTTAAAAAAATGAGACTGTTGCTTATTTAAAATTAAAACAAATTTTGATGATATATCAGATTAGGTAAAAAAATTTATATTATACCGTGTTGACATCCTGAAAAAGACTTTTAAGGTCACTTTTTATTTCCTCTATTTAAGCATCCATCTCTTTAACGCAAATGACGTTCTCATCACTTGTTATATTTTTACAAAAACAAGACTTAAATGTCACATCCAGATAGAATTTCAGTGGTCCCGGATAAAGCGTATTTAACACGGTACGTGAACCTTTTTAATTGTGCGGTACTTTACTATTTTGCAAATCCTAATAAAGTTTTCAGTAAAAAATTAGGTTAAATTTATATAAATATATATATATATATATATATATATATATATATATATATATATATATATATATATATATATATATATATATATATATATATATATATATATATATATATAACGTAAAAACATAATAAAGGTATTACTAACCTGATCGACCTTTTCATTTAATTGATCATCTTCATCAGACAATTCTGTAAAGGTTTTTCCTCCAAACTGCAGTTTTTTCTTTCCCTGAAAAATGAAGTAAATAAAAACAATAGGTCCAAAAACAAAATTAAATAATAAATAATTTATACTTACATGTCTTTCATCTTCATCAAATACGTCTTCGCCATCTTCATCAACCCAATATTCTTAATCTGATTGACTTTCAATCGAAGTTCGTAAACTGTTCACCTCAAGTAGAATAATTTGAAAAAAAACGATTTTAAAATGTTAAGTAAAGTATGGTTATATTTTACAGTAAAGTATGGTGATATTTTACAGTAAGTAAAGTATGGTAATATTTTATTACCTCCCTTTGATCCTCTTCATTTTCCTCGCTAGAAAAGTTTAAAGAAGATTTGGGAGATATAAATGTTTTTGTTAAATTCTTTTTTTTCTTCTCCTGTACCGGAGTTGGGCAATCAAATTCATTTTTAACAAGATCTTGACAACTTTTTTTCCCCTCACTACAATCATTATCTTCAGACTCGTAAAAAAAACCTTGAGGTTTTTCACGATATGATTTCGACTTGGAAATCAAATTTTATTTTCTGTGGGAGTTGAGGAAGATGGTGTCAGGGTATCCCATCAATACTATTCATTTTGTTCATCAAACTTATGAGCATTAGATTTTCATCCACTCCTTCAGAGGTAGAGCTTATTTTTGAAGCCAAAAATAAAGTGGCTTCTTTAAGCTGACACTTCTCGCAGATTGAATCATACAAAGTAGAAGGGCGTAGCCCACATTTTAAGCAAATTTTTCTTCTTTCGGCCATTGTACTTATGTATTGAATCACCTATATTTACATCAATGTATATATAATTTAATATATACACATAATCATATATATATATATATATATATATATATATATATATATATATATATATATATATATATATATATATATATATATATATATATATATATATATATATATATATATATATATATATATATATATAAATATATATATATATATATATATATATACATATAAGCAAATATATATATATATATATATATATATATATATATATATATATATATATATATATATATATATATATATATATATATATATATATATATATATATATATATATATAATGTATGTATATATATATAAAAAATTAATTTCTCACTAAACTATAGTAAATACGTAGGGCAGTCGTTAAAAAGAGTACTAATTAATACGTAGGGCAGTCGTTAAGAAGAATACCTACGACATTATGCTCAAGTTCATTAAAAACAGTCGGATTCGTTCCTAAAAGTCGGGTTTGATAAGAAACGTAATGATTTTTTTCAAAATTATGAAGACAGTTATTTCTAGATTAGAGACAAACTTTAGCGTTTTTTCTTAAAAAGGTCAAAAATTTATTTTTGATTTTGACAAACATTACATATGATTTTGATAGAGAATTTAACGATAAGATCAACGGCGAAAACCGTTTTGGCGGTTGATGCATAGTTTGTCTATAAATCAAGTTTTTGTAAGGTATTTTTAGCCTGTTTTTTGTTAGTGTTTTGCGATTTAAGGACAAACTACACTGCAGCGATTTAAAGTGTTTGCATTGTTGAATTAACCGTCAAATTCTTCATCGAAATGATGTATAATGTGTGACGGCTGCCGTATACTTTGTCTCTAAACAGCTTTTTTGTAACAAATAGAAGACATTTTGACGTGGTTTCTTGCAATATACCGAAAAACAATACGGCAGCGGTCAAAACGATTTGCTTTGTTATACTCACTGATCAATTATCTATCGAATGGATGTATCATATGTGACGGCTGCTGTATGGTTTAGCTCTAATTGACGTTTTTATGTTGCCGCCCCTCAGTCTTTTGAAGCAGTGAGAGAAAGATTAAAGACAAACTAAGAACGTTTTTCTAATTCTGTTTGCGCGATTGTTTTTAGAATTGAGTTTGCTGTCGAAATCATGTATAATGCATAGCATTTGAAAAATTGACTTTTTTCCTGATGGTATCATAGAAAAAAGGTCAAAGTTTATTTTTAATTTTGACAAACACTAGATATGATTTTGGTTGAGAGTTTACCAATAAAATCAAAGTCGAACACTATTTTGGCGGTTGATGCATTGTTTGTTTATAAATCAAGTTTTTTTGAGGTATCCTTAGCCTGTTTTTTGGTAGTTTATTACGATTTAAGGACAAACTACACAGCAGCTATTTAAAGTGTTTACATTGTTGAATTAACCGTCGAATTCTCTATTGAAATGATGTGTAATATATGACGGCTGCCGTATAATTTGTCTCTAAACAGCGTTTTTATGTCAAACAGAAGATATTTTGACGGGGTTTTTTGCAATTTACCGACAAACGACACGGCAGCTATCAAAAGGGTTAGCGTTGTTATACTCAACGATCAATTATCTATCGAATGGATGTATCATATGTGACGGCTGCTGTATAGTTTGTCTCTAATTAACGATTTTCTGAATTAGCGTTTTTTTAAACGGGTTCGTATAGCTAGTCTACGAACTGATGGAATTTTTTTGCAATTTACCGACAAACGACACAGCAGCCGTCAAAACGGTTTGCGCTTTTATACTCACTGTTTATTCCTCTATCGAATGGATGTATCATATGTGACGGATGCTGTATGGTTTGTCTCTAATTGAGGTTTTAAGGATCTTTCCTTAGTTTTTATCTTCAAGATATCATCATAATTTTCCTAAAGGAAACATGTAAAATAGCTAAAACAACGTATAATACATGAATTCTACGCAAAATTTGACAAGGAGTTGAATAAAATTAGCGTCATAGTACCTTGACACTTTTTTTCTCGTATATTTGCATAAGACTGATAATAAATATGAGTTTTTGAGATAGCAAAGCTTTTATACTTAATTTTAAGACAAATCGTACATTTTTTACAAAAACTAATTTTAGAATGGTATTCTCCATAAAATTCTTCATCAGAATGATGACTGGCATGTGTACATCTTTTTTTATCTTTAAAATAATTGGGTTTAATTGCATTTTCTCTAAAGTATGTCCGTTGCATACTGTTATTAGCAAAAATAAGTTTTTTTGTTAGTTATAAATGCTCAAGCAATCTTAACAAACCGTTTTTGTAAATTTTAGGTTGTGTTATTGCCAACTCACCTTTACATTTTAAATACTTTAACAAAAACACCTAAAACTACTGTTTTTACCACTAACACGGGTAAAAAACGGTAAACGACCCTGTTGCTAAGCCTGTTAACCTTTTTTTTTTTTTTTTTTTTTCTAAAATGTCACACATTGTAAAAACTATCGCGTGTGATAATATTATATATAATGGATAGCAGGAAACATGTTTATATTGACTTAACCTTAGAAACTACCTATTTGCCGCCTGCGTACTGTTGAAAGTTATAAAATTATATATCCAGATGTACGAAGGTCTGTTAAAGATTTCTAACAACTTATATTTAGATAGAGCAAATAGTTTTGCATTGACTAATACCTAGTTTTATATAGTTTTATAGGTCATAACTTTCGTTAAATAATTTAAAAAACCGTTCCGCGTTATACCAGAGTAGGGTATGTTTTGGGTTAGGGGTAAAGGGGTCAAAAATACAAGTTTTTGAGGATCCCAACCGAAATTGTGAACCTTTATTATTATACTAAGCTATTTAAAAAAATTTTGGTCTAGCCCTTAAAGGTCAAAAGATACAGATACGGTATTTTTTATAAACTAACAAAAAAAATTTGTTTATAGCCTCTGGCAGTATTGTAATAAGTTCGCTAGACGTTTTGAAGAAATGGAAATTTAACCCAAACCCAAATTAATTACCCCAAGTTTTTTCAGGGTTGAGAAATATGGGTCAATACCCTTTCTAAAAATCAGGGTATAGGTACTCATTTCCAAAATTGATCAGTGTGGGTCCTGTGACCCTAAACATCTAACCGACACATCTAATCGGTGAGGTTTAGGGTACTGTTTCCTAATATCTGAAGTGGTTCTGTCGCTAACCCGATCTGGTACCTAGGGAAGTACTGGTCGTGCAGCAGCTCTGATTAGGGTTATCTTCCAGAATACATTGCTTTCGTATAAACCAAGGTAGAACAACTTCTACTTCTTCTTACTTAGAAGAATACAGAAATTTACTTTTAAAAAATTGAAACTGTGCGACTGATGCAACGGAGATTTCAGAATATCGTTCCTCTATGACAGCGCTTTCTTTGGAATCTAAAAACCAGAAATACCAGCTGCTAAATCACCAAATTTCAAATAGTTTTGCAATTCAGTGCAAAAAATAATTTGAAATTCTGTCGATGTTTTGTCCATTTTTGAGTTTTGAATATGTGAATAAAAAAACATACTTCATTTGTTCTTTTCCAAAATGAAAATCATGTGTTTAGAGTTAAGAAGTTGTTTGGTTAGAATTATGAAATTCATGTGATTCCAATTTAAAAATGACATTATTAGCATTACAAAAATTATGTGGTTAGAATAAAAAACCCTGAAGTTTCTATTATTAGCCTTCTTTTGTTTTATTTTTATATAAAAAGAGCAAAACATTCTTTTTCCACGTCATCGAAGTAGAAGATACATATACAAAACCTTTAGTTGAATCTAACAAAATGAAAACTCTCTTTTTCAGAAAAAAAAAAGATACGAAAGTATCATGTTATTATGATGCATTATGAAGATTTGTTAGAAGAATATAAAATATCAAACAAATGCAAATAGTGTCGAGTATTAATTACCTCGTTAAATGTATGCTTATGGTGTCAAAAAGAATATTACGAACTTTGTTCAATAAAACATTTTAATAAAACAAAACGCAAATAAGAAATACTTAATTTATAATTTGAAAAAGAAAACAATTATATTCTTGAGCCATGTTGTAAATAAAATTATAAACAATATGTTAAATAACTGTTTTAAAAACTGTTTTTTTTTTTTAGCAAAAGTAAAATGTTACTTATGAATTCTAAAAGAACATGGATTCCAGGAGTTACCCAACAAAAATAAGGAACATTTTGCACAAAGTTGTGAAAGTTTAGAAATTC